AACAACTTTTACAATATTGTGACAAGAATTATCGTTTGCTAAAACGTTTACAAATTTACCATTAACTATAGTTAAATAGACCAAATACATATAATTGAAATTAACAAATCACACCATTTGCTTTAGGTTATATAACAATTTACATACAAAATTTTTAATAATTATTTTATTCTCCAAAAGATCAATTACTATTTCATTTTTCATCTAAAAAATTAATTTTCTTCGTTTTCATTCATTTATCAATCCATAAATTAGCATCGAGTAAAGTCATTTCACTGCTTTTTACATTTTTTTTTCCAATTTCATGTTTACACAATATTGTATATTTTTGTTAGTTTTAATTATAGATTGTTCTCTTCTATGAAGTTTTCTCATTAAAAAAAAATATATATCATCCGGGACAGATATCAATAAAATTACGCTTGCATTCTTTTTTTTTTTTTAAAGGTCAATGATTTACCTCAACTTAAAATGAATAAGAAATTAATTTCTAGACAAATTAACAAATATTATAAAAAAATAATTTAGTTGATTGTTTTTAATTTTTATTAATTAAAAAAATTCTGTTAATTATAAGATAGAAAATTAAGAATTGTTATTTATTTTTAAACTGTTGGATGTATTTTCTAATTTTTCATTAACCTATTAATGATGTTAGAGTGCAAAAAGAAAAGAACATAATAAAACTTATAAATCTCATACAAAAAATAACCTTTTAAAGAAAAAAAATATTCTAATGAAAAATCAATAATTGAAAAATATTGTGCATATATAAAGTGTAATTTGTATTTAGTTAAGAGTATTTTGTCCATTCAGCTATTTATAATAGTATATTGTAAATTTTTCAGCAAATTGTGTTTTTTAACCATTATATAAAATGTAATATGTAAAATATAAATTTTTAAAACACAATATTAAAGTGTAATTACATCATATTAGCATACAAGGTGTATTTTGCAAATTTTTTTATGTTATTATTTAGGTTAAAGAAGGTCAAGATAGGTACATGAACAGGAAATAAGAAAGGGATAAAATAATACTTTCTTGAAAATCCAATTTACATATGTTCAAAAATACTTTAGCTCGACGGTCTTGTATTCACACATATTAAGCTCCTGTCGGGGAAAGCTTTTATAATCCAAGAAAATTGCTTTGTTGACCGTTACTTTCTAACAAGAGGGTCCCACATAGAGATAGAAAGCCAAAGAAATACGGCTGCTGCATCTTCCAACGGTCTGAAAAACAACTAAAATCTGCTAAAAATGAACTCTAGACTGAATCTAAGACCGTTTAATCAAATTATGGCATCTTGAACCATTCAAATCATAACATCTTAGATGTTGAGTGTGCAAGAGACAAACAAAGTTAGTGGACAGGTTCGCTCGATATACGAGATTTATGATTTGAATGATTTAGGATTTGAAATCTAGCGATTTAATTGAAGAATCCTACCTAGTGTACATATGGAATCATCCACCAAAGCATTTCTTGTTCGAAAAGGAAACCAAATACTGGATCAAATTATCCTATTGTCACTAATAAATGATCATTTGCTGAAATTATTTTAAGTGTGTTTAGAATTAAAACATATTTGGATAACTTCTTCTTTCAAACACTTTAGTAGGAAATAAAAACTTTTTTTTTTTTTTGAAAATAACTTTTATCTTACTTTTAAAATAAGTAATTTACTCATTTCTAATTTTACTTATTTATCTATTAGTAAACTAGTATGTAATATGAGTGTTCACGAAAATATATTTCGAATTAAAATTATCGCAAGTGTACGGTTCGTTAACAAGTAATAAAGTGGATTTTGAGTCCAAATATTATCTCACAAAGATTAATTAGTTTAATTTTAATTATCGCAACCTTAACTGAAACAAGAATAATGTGATGTATTTGTTTGCGACAAAATTATGACTAAAACAATCTACTTATACAATTATGAGTAAATTAACTAAACTAAATGCGAATTATTCTAAAAGGAAATTAATGTGTTTAATAAATGATAAATGCACTAGGATACCGAATTCCATGCAATAATCATTTTTAACTTTAGTTATACACTTTGACAATATGATTGAATTTTGTTGAATCAATGTTTCTATTTTATTTAACAATATCTCTCGAGTAATATTAAATGTACTTTCATATATGACTCACCTATATTTCTAAAATTGATGCGAACATACAAGAATACTGATTTTTTATGAACACTTAGAAATTCACATAGAGTATAGCGATATATTTCTTTCCCCTATCGGACTCTATGGCAATTTATATACGTCGTACATATTTTTTTTCTTTCGAATGTATAAGATAGGCCACCACATTTACATAGCTACCGTGCACTATAATTGTGAAGAAAAGAAAATCATATAAATCATTTAATATCCAAAAACGTGTTTTCAATCTCAAGTATGTAAAATTAAAGATTAAAAATTCATATTACAAGGTTCATCGTTCTCCCAGTACAAATAAATATAGCATAACATGTTATGAAGAAGAACACAAAAAATATAAATGTTGTTCATCACCCGAAAATTCTTGAATTCAATATTGAACTTTTTTGATTTGTTCTTTACCTTATTTTGCAGCTAATTCTCCATCTCTAATTATGTTTTGAGGGTTGGTATTTATATTCCCTCTAAAGAGTCCTAAAAGATCTCCAAAAATGGTGCATATCATTGTCCAAATGGAAGTTTCCTTGTTGGAATTTAATTTTGAAGGAAATAGAATTTTTGTTTTTCGACTTGGCCTGGGCGGGCGCCTAGTAGGAAATAGGGTGGCCACCCAGGCATATCATGCCAAATTTAATTTATGCTACTATTTGTTCCTCTCTTAAAAGCCTAATTGTTGAAATCAGGAAAGTATCTGTACTCTTTTTCCTTCAATCAAGTTTTGTCCAATTGAATTTTCTTAACAATGTTTTAACGAGGCAACCGTTTATTACTCCAAATTATTTGTACTCATTTTTCATTTGTTGGTATCTTTTCCCATCGGGTTTTTGCCAAACAAGATTTTAATGAGAACTATTGTGCAAATAATTGTCGAAGGGGGAGTGTTGTAAAACTATAACATAAATATTGATGATTATGTATTTTATTCCATTTGTAACTCTCATTTTGAATCCTAAAAATACGGGTCTTGATTCTCAATAAAAGTTACACGTGAGTTTTGATTCTCTACTTTTCTCACATTTATTCTCTATATTTCTCTTTTATTCCTTTAATTTTATAACAAAATTAATCATATTTAAACTATTATTTAATCTAAGGTTATATAAAAAAAATTACATTTTCAACTATAATAATTATATTTACACTACAATTTTTGTTAAATACATTAGGGATGGATTTAGGGGGGATTGAGCCGGGCTGTAACCCGATCAAGTCATCAACCTGTTTACTTTTTTAGTGTAAATAAAAAATTTCTTGTAAATTGTTTTTGTGTAAATTAATTTTTTTTGTATGTATTAGCCCGACTTGTCCTAGATCCGTCTCTAAAATACACGATATTTTAATTATATTGAATGTTCTCAATATTTGTTCATTTTCGTACTTATATCTTCAACTTTTTTCAATTATAGTCTTATCCTCAAACATTCTCTTAATTTTCACATCTTGTGTGTAATGAAGATTTTGATTTATAAAATTTGTTAAGAATCTTATTTATTTCTCATATTTTTAAATAATAAAAATAAATAACAAAATAAAAGTTTGACAAAATAATCGTCCCTTGTTTCAATACAAAAAAAAAAATGACAAAATTGTGAATTGAGAGTGAGACAAGATATGCTAATTTTGTGATGTTAATGATTAGCATGCGACGAAAAAAGTTGGGGACATAAGTGTACAAATGATCAAAACTTGAAGATTGTAATTTAAATATGAGCATGGACATTAAAAAGGGAAAAAAAATCATAACTCAGGCATTAACTATGAACCAATTCAATTTTTATGTTTGAAGTTTCAAAATTAAAAACTTAGGTAATAAATAAATAATTAAATATATTTTATTAATTAAATATATTAATGTCAAAATTATACAATTAATGGTTACAGATACGTACTTACAAGTACAATTTATTTATTGGTCATATATATTATCAAATTAATTAGTCACAGATTTTTTCACAGTCACAAGTCAAAAAAATTTATAGGTCACAATTTATTCATTGGTCATAGATTTTCCAATTAGTTGGTCACAAATTATATAATTTTTACATCACAATTAAATAGTTGTTACAAATAACCAAATAGTTGGCCACAAATTAACCAAATAGTTGGTCACATACACCAAACACCCCACACCCACCTCCAATTCCGATCCATCACCAATACTTGATCACAAATCAACTAAACAGTTGGTCACAAACATCTAAATAGTTGGTCACAAACTCTATTCATCCCATCCTCCGTCGTCGTTGTTGTCGCACCACCACCACGACTGCCACCATCATCACCACCACCTCCACTAACAAAACTAACAACACCGTCATCACCAACAAAATCTACCCCAACACCAAAACATGAAAAATCATGGCGACTCCAAAAACCAACAAATCCAACAAAAACCATCACCACGGCACCACCATCACAGATCACGGCACACCACCACTGCACACTACCACAGCATCCAACCACCACAAACAACACCCACGATACATTACCACACCCAACCCAACCACCAGATACAGCATTGCACCCAACCATCTCACATCATCACCGTACCCAACCCAACACAACCCAACCACCACACCCAACCACAATTGCACCTAACCACCGAGCATAGCACCACCTAACCACCACCACTACATAGCACCATCACACCCAACCATAGCACACATCGCCGCATAGAGCTCTCTGTTTCCACCACCACCACCGCAATCACAAAACTAATACACCATCACCACCACCGTACCACATAACCACCACCGAACTGTCTATTACCGTACTACTCAAAATTAAGAAGAAGAAGAAGATGAATGGATTTGTACTATGCGCAGTGACGATAAACTGCCGTGCACGAAGGAAAGCCGTCGCCACTGCGCCGTGATGCATCACTGGAGTGCTGTGAGGAGTTGTCGGAGTAGGTTCGCCGCATGAAAAGAACCAGGCTAGAAATGGATATTTTTCAAATGAATTATGATTTTTGGGGTAGGTAAATTAAATGTGGTAAATTAATTTAAAGGTTATTAGCACAACGTCCCAACGTATGCAATTTATTTTCCTTTTATATTCTTTTTTTTTATTTAAATAGAAGGATAAATTCGTCATTTCATAGCTTTTTATTTATAAATTGGATAAAAATGATAATTTCCACAATAAAAAGTGTAAATAGGGGTGAAAAATACCAAAAAAAAAAAATTGTAACATGAGGATGTTTTGCACAATGAACTCCACATTTAGGGACATTTTGTGCTAATAATCCTAAATTAATAATAATAATATTAATATTAATATTAAAAACTATATTATCACTGATTTTTGAACAAAAAACTTTCAAATCTGATTTTGGAAATGGTAACTTAAAAAATATGATTATATGTAATTTCTACTATTAAATACTATGATGTTAATATAATTATCCTCTTCTTAATAAGTACCGCTATTTACATCCACATTTTTCATATATATATCACACTTGAAGTTCTTCCCTATTAAGTTTTTTTGAAAAAAAATACTATTTGTATCCACGTCATATTCTAATATTGTCATTATTGAATTAATTCATTTAAATACTATATATTCACATTAATTTTATATATTCATCCCACTTTAAATACAACGCTAACATTATAGATCAATAGAATCCCTAAAACCATAAATCGCTTTTAAACCAAATGAACGAAATAAGAACAAAACTGAACTAATTGAACATTAAATTAACATATATTATTCACTTAATCATGTTAACATTGTTTATTAAAAGTTTTATTGTAAAATCAAACTAAGACAAAAAAATCAAAATAAATGTAAATAAAGAAACTCAAACAATCATACCAAGAAGATAACCATAAAACCAAGAAAAGAAAATTAGAGCGCCAAAATTCAAGCATGATATCACAAGAACGCCACTGAACCCCATAAATGTATTAATGCGTTAGGAAAAAAACCAAACGACGAAACACGATAAAAAGGTAATCCTTAGTTTTTCTGTTTCGCGCAGTTACTCACTAACAATTAAAAATGGATCAAACGATTGTGTAAGGGACAAATCTCTTGGAACAAAGTCCCAAAAAGGGGTGTTTATCGAATATGAAGATTACAGTTTGGATACGAACAAGATGCCTTCAAGGGGCGCAAACACACAAGTACAAGGAAATTGAATTAATTAAAGTTAATCTAAGGAAAAGTAAATTACATATTCTCTGTTTGAGAGTGAATTTTGTCGGGGTTTTCTTCATTACTTTCCTCTTCCTTTTATACTCCTTGGGCAGTTCTCAATCGTTTGGACTCTGCTCGTAACTACCCATTTCTTTCATAGTGGCTGACTGGCCAATAACTACTATTTGTAACTCCTACCACCACGTTTTTTTCATAACCGCTTGTCACTAATTTTCTCAAGTCGTGGGATGTAATCGTGATGTGCTCAAACCACTTCAAATCGTGACTTTTAGATAACTGCAGGGTTTAGTCATAGTTAGGATTTTGGGCGATCCAGCAATTTGGGCGACGACTCCTTCACTCTGGGCGTCCATAGGGCATTTTATTCGCTCAACATCTGGGCGTTCTGCAAGTTTGGACGACAACATTCCTTTGTTTGTGGGCTTCTTACCCTTTGTTTGGGCTTTCATCTTGGATTCTCAATTGGGCTTCGCTATTTGGGCCATTTAATTTGAGCTGCATTTTTAGTGTGTCAACATTTTCAAATTCATTTTCATATATTGCTATGTTTGTATATATTTGCTCTAGCGGCATCTCGTCCATTGTTTATTAAATTCTTTGTCTATTGAAGTTTTGAGTATTAGAATACTTCAAACATATTCATGTAATTTTCTCAACTCTATTAGATTTCTAGTTAAATACAAATTCTAAAAGAATATAAAAAAATTTAAGATAATTTAATGAAAATAAAAAGTAGTGGATGAATTTAGAGTTATATATTTTTATTTAATTATATTTATGTCTATTTAAATAAATTTACATAGAATTTAAAATATAATAAAATTTTATTTTTAAAAGTGGATGCATTTTTTCACTCCTTATCTTAAAAGAGTGAACCTCAGGTTTACTATTCATTTTTGTCACACGAGTTTTCACACTTCACCTCTTTCCAATTTGGTTTTGCTACAGTATGGAGCCATCTTTGTTGAGTATTGTAGTTGAAATTATATAAATATCTTCTCCATATCCTCTACGGTCGGGTTCTATGTTCTCTGTAATTTTCTTGCTCTAAGCTCACATTTTTCTTTGAAGAACTGCTGATAACTAACAGAAATTCTTTGGATTTATTTTCTTGAATAGTTACCTGGTCTTCTTGATGAATCAAGTATTGAAATAGGTTGGTGTTGTTAATTATTCAAGGTTTTCAATTATTAATCTTTTCACTTCTCACTCTCTCTCTGTTGTTGGAGGTATGATTGAGGATTTGGGGCTACATAAATTGAAAGAACCGAGCAATTACGATGAGAACAAGGACGAGTGAGGTACAAGTTTTCTGACCCAATCCTTTTATGGGAATTCCCCGTGAATTTTTGTTCGGCTGGTTTTCATACGTTTAATTTGGTTTTCGATGTTGTTTTTATTTGTTTTAGATCGTGTAATGCACCTCGAGTCTCTCCGCGCATCGCGGAGAGGAGGATCTCTCCGCGCAGAGGAGAGTCCAAGGTAATTTTTGTTCCTCTCTTAAAAGCCTTAAATTTATTTACAGATGATTTTGCATTATTTGGAAATCATGTTATCTATATATTGAAGCTGTGATGAGCAGGAATGTATTGAATTGTTTAAGAAAGGATATGATTTGGAATATTGTGAAGTTGAGATCTTTAGAAAAGAGTAGCAGGTTTCCACATTGATTGTTTTTCTTATTTATTTTCTTTTGTTTGTGTGTGTCTCTGTGTTGCTATGTTTGTCGCACACAAATTAGCTGATAGAATTGGGTGAGGACCGTATCATTGTGTATTTTCATTTTGTTTTCAGAATTTGGAAATTGGAGTAAAGGTGACCATATCGCTTTTAAAATTAGACATTTTGTGTATGCGTATAAGATTGAAATGGATGCAAAATAAGAAATAAATGTGAAATTGGGAATTTGGGTTTGATTTTAGGTGATTAAGTTCTAAAATTTGTAATCAAAGTAAACTTATTACATTATTTAGTTTTTAGAAAAATCAGGTGGAGTTTTTCTATGGTGTAGGTTTTTTCCCCGATAATACATTTTTGCTCAATAGGAAGATTTACTTTTGGTGCTTGATGTTCGTCCAACAATGTACAACAATGTACGCTGTGCTGCCAGAAGTTGAAAAAGTTTGCTCTATGTTAGTGCAAAAGAATGTCCATTAATTTTTTTTAAAATTTCTTTTTGCCACCAACTTCTCTGTTCAATATATTGTGGATTTTGGCATTTTAATATTTATTCTAAACTTCTAAACTAATGCCTGGTCATTGACAATGTTTTTTTTTTTTTTTTGACAATGGTCAACTTTATGTAGCAAGAGCGAAAACAAGCACATCTGTAAAAGTTTTACTTAAACCATCAAACACTGACACTTTACACAACACATGTACTAAGAATATTGTGTACAAAGAAATTCTTTCATTCATACATCGTTAGAACTACAATCTCTATGTTTGACATCTTCTGAGATCAAATTGAATCTTCGGTAATATATACTCGACAAATGTTTTTACTCTTTCTTGATCAATCTAGATCTACATTCATTCATAATTTTTAACTTTAGCCAGATGGACGCATATTAAATATTATGTTCAAATAAATTTCTCAATTATTAGAAAATATATCATGTCATAGCTTTGGAGTCCGCTAATACTAATTAGGACATTACGTTTCTCTTTTCTGATTTTTATTTCATCTGTATTAATGCAGGATTTTGTCATTTATGATTATGCTCGGACTAAGATACCTATAAGGAACTGAGAAACATGATAAGTAAAACATTAACTTGCAGAATTAATGGAAGGCATGGATTTCTGTTAAAGAATTTGAATTATTAGATAGTTCTGTCATTTTTTATTTATTTATTTTGGTGATGGCTTACAGAGAGAATGAAAAAGTTTCTAAAGGGATGTTTTTATCACTTGGATCAATATAATTATGAGGACCATTTTTTGAAGCTAAAGTGCAAACTCTTAAAACGAAAGGTAATGTCATGTTTGTAGTTCCCTTCCACTGAATTTTTACGATAGTGTATCTGAACATATAAAACTTTTTGATAATCACAAAAATAAACATATCTAGCAGCGTGGTGAACACGATTATTTGATGGATATTTTGCAGAATAATTGTTTAGCAATTTTGTTTAGTAACTGGTGCAATTTGATGTGCCTTTGAAGATAATTTTCAATAAAGATTTAGTTGATTGTCTTTATAGCAAGTTCATTTTTGCTACTTTTCCACATCTCTGTCATATTATTGTAACTACTTTTAGCATATTTGGGATGCTCAACTAGATGGTAGTGGGTAGAGTTAAGGAAGAAAAAGAAGTTAAGACCTTTTAATGTACCATAACTACTATCCATTATTGTGTTCCAATCACTTCCTTTATGTTATTCCTTTCCAATCTAATGACGCCTTATTTATTCACTGTAGCTCAAGGGTTTATCCAATTGTCATTGCTTCTCATCCCTCCAAGCTTAATCAGTTTGCATTGGGACTTACTGATGGTGGAGTTCACGTGCTAGAGCCCTAGAAATAGATGGGAAATGGAATATCGCACCTCCACAAGAAAATGGTGCAAGCCTAGCAACAACCCCATTGCATCTGTACCCAATCTTCATAATATAATAAACATGCATTAGGTGGCTTAACTTGCAAGATTCGATAATCTGATAGGCCGAGGGAATGGTTACAATGTTAATAGGTATAACATAGATGGGAATAGTTCCAAATATGTAAGATGAACTCAGAATTTTGAAACTTTTCTTTTCTTTTTTCTTGGACCAAATAATGTACCTAAATGCACATTTTCATGTTATCCAATTCTACTAGCATATTATGTTTTTATATAAAATTGTATTTTGATGAATTTTAGGATTTTTTTTTTAACACTACTGAGGGCTTATAAGTTCACTTATTTTACTTGATGAGGACAAAAAAATTAGCTTATAAACTCAAACCATTCCAACCTAATGATTTCCTTTATGTTTGTTCAATAGGATGGTATTCTCATTACTAGTAAAACTTTAGTAATAAAACTTGACAAAGTTTTATTTCAGAGATAGTGATTATGTAGACAACATATCATTTTTAGCTTAAAGATTGTGCAAATATATCATTCTAATGGAAAGACTTGTATATAACAATTGAAATAAAAGATAAAATCATTTTGTCGTAAATTATTGTTAACATGTAAAAAAAAAAAACTGAAGAATGTAAAAAAAAAAAATTATTTTGAAGACTCAACACAATGCGGAGCAACTCCGCACACGGAGCATTTGCTCCATATTGTGCGGAGGATATTTCTAATCCAAAAAAATGGTGCATATATATTAGTTTATATTACTATTACAACTCTTTAAATGATAAAATATGTTGTTTCTTTGCTTACTATAGTTACTAAATAATTTCTTCGCATAGTGGTCAAGTGTCCTTGACTCCCAGTTAACTCAAGAATCAGCAAGTAAAAAAAAAAAGTGTCTCGTGTCTCCGAATAGTACGGAGACACACACCATGTTTGTGTACTTCCCCATTGTGTGGAGATACGGAGCTGTATCTCCTCACAGCGAAGAGACACCGTCCCTAGGAATTGTTTTTTTTTTTTTTTTTGCCAACAATTCTACGTAATTACATTTTATACAAATTCAATACAATTTCACTTATTAATAATTTAATTCAAAAATATTAGAAAACACTCAATTCCATCGGATTTTTTTTTTGCTTGGTATTTTTTTTTTCGCTGCCCCCTGGTCCTCCTCAACCCCTCGACCTGACCGGGCAGGTAGATTCCCTGCCCCCTCGAACCCCGCGACTTGACCGAGCAAGCCAATCCCCACCCTCAACCCCCGCGACCTGATTGGACAGGTCGATCCCTATTGGCAAATCATTTGTATAAAAACAATAATCAAATAAATAAATCATGAAATCAGAATTGTATTAACTTCATACATAAAATCTTTTACATACATAAAATCAAAAACATTAGAAAATATTCAATTCCATACATACATGAAAATTAAAATTCCTTTTGGGGGCGTTGCCCCCGAGCCCCACAACCTGACCGGACAGGTTAATCCGCATCTGGGGCGTTGCCCCCGAACCCCACGAGGGACGCTGCCCCTCGACCCCCACGACATGACCGGTTCGATCACATTCGAGCGCTGCTTCCAAATATTTGATGAGATGTTTTCTTCACCATTTACATGTCTCGTCAAAATAAAAATCGTTGTGAAGTTAGCGTATTTAATATTATCAGATAATATTTTCGTTTTTTATTTTTCATTAAACTTTCTTCCTCATTCAGTGTGTATTATAAATATTTTGAAACGTTGGCAAGCTTAAAAATGATTTATATTATCCCCATTAATTTCGTCCTTAGAACAAATTTTGGCTACCAAAAATTCATCATTTCAATCTTATTAGAATATTATCATTATTAAATTTTACTAATTATTATGTTAGATAAAAACCTACTAACTTCTCACAATACCATTAATATTTGATATGCTAATATTACCTTAAAAATATCAAAACTCGTACATTGTACGGGCGTATGACTAGTATATATAAAAAGTAAGGATGAAAATAACGATTCCCTTTCTTAGCAAAAGTAGAAATAAATTGAGGAAATTACAAAAAATCAGGTGTTCAAAGATTGCTTTTTAAAAATCAGGTCTAAAATTTATTTATACAAAAATCAGGTAATATATCAAAACCCTAATTAATAACCCTAATTCACTAATCTTCCCCACTCCATTTCTCTCGTCTCCCTTCATCACTCCTGGAGCGACACCCTCTCCTCCCTCTCTTCTTCCCATTTCTCTTTCTCTCGTCTCTATCTCTCTTTGTCTCCCTTCGAGCGGCGCTGCAGTGAGCGATCGCCGACAGACAAAGACGCTCTCAGGCACGGAGAAGCCGTACACAATAACTTTGCACAAATCGGTGATGGTGGTTGTTCATCGTTGCTGCGCGCGAGGTCTCTGTACCTGATCGACAATGGTGGTTGTGGTGCTCAGATAATGATCATCTCCACGCTTCACTGTGCAGCGGCGCTTAACAGTCTCTCAGCAGTGTTGCGACGCTGTAGAGAGTCTGTCGACGACGCTCCTGTCGTTATTCTTCTTTTTTTAAAAAAAATTTTTTTATTGTGGTGGTGGTGTTTGTGTCGAGGTGTGGTCGTGGTGTTGATGTTGATGTTGGTTGTATTTTGGTGCAAATGTGGTTTGTTGGCAGTGACTTTGTTGTTATTAGTGTTGTAGAGCTATGGCGTTGGTGGCGGTGAGGGTGGTTGCAAGTGTCTGTAGTGGCATTGGTGGTAATGTTGTGACGGTGATATGTGATCAAATATTTGGTGATCTGTGACTAGTTACTCAATTGTGACCTAAAAATTTAATAATACGTAACTCAAAAATAATATGTGATCAACCAATTTAAAAATCTGTGACTGACAAATAAATTGTGACTAATTAATTTAATAATATGTGACCAATAAATAATTGTAACGTATAATTATGTATCTGTGACCATTAATTGTATAACTGTGACTTTATTATATTTAATTAATAATATATATACCTGAATTTTAAATTTTCAAATTATAAATCTAATTTTTGAATTGATGTAAACTAAACAGTTAATTTATGATTTTTTCCCAAATAAATTTTTCTTCGTTGAACGGGATAGTATTTTGTTAAATTGGGCCAATTACTAGCCCGATGAAGAAAATAAAGCCTTTGGAAAATATTCCAATTCTATCATCCAAATTTGTTGTACGAACTCGAGTGCGATTGCAGAAGTTCAGAGAAGACCCGGAAGGCCGCTGCCTCCGTCGGCGAGGGGGCCACCACCTCTTCCTGACGCCAAACTATCCCCGCGTTTCGAAACCGTCAAACATGAGAAGGTTCTTTTCTCTCTATTTATACCTTATTATTTATGTAGAGATTAATTGTGAGTATTGGGTTGATTGTCGTTCACCACATTTCGTTACTTTTCTTGAGTCACTTTTAAGAGCTTTGGTGAATTCCGCGATCCAGGTTTTAGTGAATATCTGTACTTGTACAGAGCTTTTTCGTAGAAATGTTAAATGTATATGCATGGAACCAAAAGAAAAGGGAGCTGAATGAGAAAATTTGGTATTAGCGACTTGCTATTTTGCAACTTTATATTTTGTAGATGAGGTACAATTAAGGGCACATAAAGTTGGGACTTTCAGGAATTCCGCACACGAAATTTGTGTATTGAACTCTTTTCCAGATAGAAAGGAACAATAGCAATCAGATTGATTGCTCGCGGTTCTAGTAAAAAAAAATGATAGATAACTTCCCCTGCTTCCTAAATGAACGACTTTGGACAAAAAATGACAAAGCGAAGTGGGGTTTTAGCAAATATTATTTGGTCAGAAGGATAAACATCCTGTGATCGGAAAGAAAAGATTTACATAATTTTTGCTAGTTCAACAAATTGAAGGAAAATATACGAATATCAAGTGTTTGTCTAGTAATTGGATGCTTTTAGTAGAAATTATTGGATCTAATCGGTTTTGTATTAATAGTAAGTGCATCAAGATTTGGCCTGGTGTTCCTTTTCTGGGTATTTTCAGTTGAAGTAAAAAGTTTCTGTGCATTTTTTGAGATGCGTCTGTTTTCTGCAAAATTATGGGCAAGGTTCTTTTGAATTGTGTTTTTTTGTTACATCTTCATTATTTCTACCATTTTCCTTTCTTGTTTCTGTGGCCCAGGCTTGTCAATTATTACTTCGTTTTTTCACCAAGGTATATACTCTATCTCGTGACCCTCCTTAGCATTGAACAAAGTTTGATAAGTTTTATTTTTCTTCTTATTTTTAACATGTTTGAGGCCACCATGCCAATGGAGATTTCACAGTTAGAGGCAAGGAACCCAAAGATGAAATCCAAATTTTTACATGGACAAATGAGACTTTGCTCAAATTAACTGATCTGGTATGAAAAGTTGCACCATGTATCATCTTTTATGTTTCTCACCCTCACCCTCACCCTCTACTTTCTACTCCTTTTTCCAATGTAAATGTATATGTGCACAGTTGCATCTGAAGATAACTAACTTCTATTGTTAACACATGCACATAATTATTTTTTGAGACTTTCTTGACTATTTGAGTGTAGTGTATAATACATCAAGTTCACTTCTTTTGAAATCCAGTACAAGTTGGCAGAGATGGATTCAAGATAGGACTATAAGCCGAGCTAATATGTAGAAAAAATTTACCACTAAAAAAAATTAACAGGCCGTAGACTAGATCGGGCTACAGCCCTGCTTAGTTCGTCCTAGGGATGTCAGTTTGGCTCGCCGGCTCGGGCTGCCCGTGGCTCGGCCCGAAAAGAGCCCGAGCCGGCCCTGCCTGAGGCTCGGTAGAACCGAGCAAAATTCGGGCCGAGCTCCAATTTGGGGAATTGGGCTGAGCCTGCCCCGTAAGGCCTGTATGGCCAGTGTAAAATAAAAAAAATAAAAAAATTTGAAATGGAAAGGAGGGTAAGTGGCGGCTACTATTTAAAGGCGGCACATGTTACATATAAAAAAAAAAATCGACAGGGCCGTTGAGGCCCGAGCAAAAGCCCAGGCCGAGCATTAAATTTTATCTTGAGCTTTTGCTCGGCTCGGGGAAAAAAAAAAGCCCAAACCCATTTTGCTCGAGTCGAGCCCGAGCTTCAAATTTCGGCTCGTGGCTCGGCTTGGCTCAGGTAGGCTCGTTGCCACCCCAAGTTCCCCCTAAATTCGTCCCTGGAAGTTGGTATGGAACCTTATATTGTGTGTGGGGGAGAGCATTTTTTTGGGTACCTTTCTGAGGATGCGGGATGAAATAATTGGAGAAGTAAGAATCTAGGTACTTCTGGGGAACAAATTTAAAACCATTTATACCAAGCATCAACTTAGAATATATCTAAGGACCTCTTCTTTTGTTTCTATAAGGGTAATTACTCTAAGCTTGTTGCTGAATAAGTTCATAGTTGGATAAGTTAAGCTTAATTATTTCATTGTAATGGTTGTTTAGTTTTTGTCCAATTCAATTTTTTTTCCTTCGAAGTTAGCTGGTGACTAAAATGCTTTCTAATTTTGTAAGAAGCATTGCAATTTGATACATTGGGATGACAATTTATACTTGTAGAACATTAATGTCATAATGGTATTATGGTAGCGAGTAGATTTTGGTACCTGCCCTTGATATATTTTAAGTTACACTTTCAACATGAGCATGACTATATTGGACTAAATTTGAATTGAGGCGCCTAGTGCCAATTGATTATATTGGCCCATTCAATGTTAGATACAGTCTTTATAAATGGATATGCTAACATAAAAGCTTCATAATTGAATCTTGTTTTGGATAGTTTTACGCAAAATTAGAATAACAGAAATCATTTTACAAATTCTCGTCATGCATATCAATGACCAATTTGGATCTATTAGAGCGAAGAGATATTTGGAAGTGAAAAGAATATTCTTATTTCAATCAATCAACCATTCAATATTGTCTTTAAATAGAATGAGTTAACTGAGTGTAACAAACTAGTATCAACAGTTGTACATAATTACTTTCTAACTAAATTGGCGCTTAAATGTTCTTGAGCTTGAGTTGGAATTTGAGCTAAACTTGAGCTGGAAATTGAGCTTGCTTGAATGAGCTACTGGTGTGCAACATACATTCTAAACCAACCCCCCCCGGGAAATGGATCATGAAGATCTTGGACAATTTAGGAAAGAAGAGAGAAGCATGCAAGGCTTTGGTGAATATATCCGCCAATTGGTGTTGAGATTGAACCGATAACAGTTTGATGAAACCATCAGCTACCTTATCACGAAAATGACAATCGATCTCAATGTGTTTTGTTCTCTTATGGAAGATAGTGTTACTAGTGATGTGAATTTCATCTTGATCGTCACAGAAAATCAAGGCTGGAGATATTGAAAAAAATCTGTAAATTGAGAAGCAACTGATGTATCCATACCAACTCACTAGCAGTGGTTGCTAATGCTCTATACTCTGCCTTTCCAGATGACCTGGAAACAATTTGTTGCTTCTTAGCCTTCCACGATATTAGAGAATCACCAAGAAATGCACAGAGACTGATGACAGACTTCCTTGAATCAAGGCACAAACCCCAGTCTGCATCAGCAAATGCACGAAATTGCAAAGAAGAAGAGGCTGAAAATAACAACCCTTAACCTCGAGCCGTTTTCAGGTACTGTAAGAGGTGATGAGCTGCATCAAGGTGTGGTTGACGAGGCTGAGAGACAAATTGACTTAATTTGTGAGCGGTAAACGTGATGGCTGGACGAGAGATAGTTAAGTAATGCAAGTGGCCAATGAATCTTCGATATGATGAAGCATTAACATCAGTTAGCAAATCACCTTCAAATGAACTTAAAAACGAACTTTTGGATCCAGTCGCAAAATGGTTGAAACACAAGCTAAGAAGCCAGTGTCTTCTAGCAACTGTGATGAAAATATTATCAACATACACCAGTAAGGCAACAAATGAGGCACCTGATCCTTTAGTAAATAGAAAGTAATCTGACTTGGACGGATGAAAACCATGCGCTATGAGAGCTTGGGAAAACTTTAAGAACCATTGTCTGGAAGCCTATCGAAGGCCGTAAATGGATTTGTGGAGTTTACAAACGGGCTTACCTTCTTTGACAACATGAGCAGGTAAATTAGAGTACCCTGGAGGTAGGTCTATATTGATTTCTTTAAAAAGATCACCATTCAAAAAAGCATTATTGACATCTAATTGAACAAGATGCCATTTATTGAGGGTTGCAATAGCAAGTAATCTCTTGACAGTAACCAACTTAGCGACAAGGGAAAAAGTGTATGAAATCCAGTCCTTCTTGTTGGGTATAGCCCTTGGCTACCAAACGTACTTTATACCTGTCTATACTTCCACCAGGTCCATATTTGATCGTATACACCCACCTACAACCAATTGAATGCTTTCCCTTGGGTAAAATGGTTACGGACCATGTTTTGTTCAATTCCATAGTTGCCAATTCAGCCGCCATTGCTTCCTTCCAATGATCAGATGCAATAGCTTGATGATAGAGTTGCAGTTCAACATTGGAGGTCACATTGAGAAGAAATGTTCGATGTGAATGTAAGAAGGATTTATATGAAACGTATTTAGATAAGAGATAAGCTGAATTGTTGTCTAGAGGTGGTTGGTTTGCTAGGAGGTTACAGTGAAATTCACAAAGATATGATGGAGGTTTACTCACCCTAGTTGTTCTTCTAGGTATAGTGAGCAACGGCTGATTGGAATTTGGATTGGAATTTTGACTTTGAAAACTTTGAGGACAATAAGAAGAAGCAAAAATTGGCTCAACATTAGGTGCATCAGAATGCTCAATTGAACTATTATTGTTGGTAGGAGCTGGTGAATATGAAGCTGGATGATGAGTATACAAATTGGGTATGATATTTGGTAACACAATATCAGGGAAGGGGTCCACCAAATCTGGTGCAGAATCTATAGAGTGAAAAGGGAAGTATTTTTCATGAAATACCATATCCCTGGAGATAAGAAAGGACTTTGAAGAGATGTTATATAGCTTGTATCCTTTGACACCTGGAGGATAACCAAGGAAGACACAAGCTCTAGTTCCAGGATGAAATCTGTTTCTATAAGAAGGCAATGTGCATGCGAAGCAAAAGGTGTCATGTTCTTTAGAATTGGAGCCGGGGTTCTGTTAATCAAAAAGGTTGATGTAAGAATACAATCACCCCAGAATTGAATGAGTACTCTTGACGGAAAGTATAATGCTCGTGCTACATTAAGGAGATGTTTCCTTTCAACTACAGAATTTTGTTCAGGTCTTTTAGCACAAGAAAATTGATGGATAACAACCCTTAGCATCAAAAAGTTCTGTAAACTTCAGTTCTTGAGCATTATCTGACCTAAAAACTTTGTGGAATTGATTTACAGTAAGAGTAAAGAATTTAGGAACAATAAACTTTGCATCTGATTTCTGTTTCATCTAATAGATTCAAGTAAACCTTGTGCAGTCATCAACCAAGGTAAGAACGAACCTATGATCAGCATGCGTGGGAGTATGATATGGCCCCCAGACATCGCAATGAACCAAATCAAATGCATTGTTTGACAAATTATTATTCGATACAAACGAAAGCCTACTTTGTTTTGCCAAAGGACAAACAGAACAAGGAGCTAAAGTATCATGCTTAATACAATCAATATGTAATTGTTTCTTCAACAGATTTAATTTCTGGAATGACAAATGCCCAAGTCTATAGTGCCAAATTTGACTAGTTACATTATTTGATACTGAATATGAAGATTGACAGACACTATTGTGAACTGATGGATTGGAATCAATGACATAAAGATCAGCCTTCCCTTTACCCCTGCCAATTATCCTCGATGTGGTCAGATCGTGGACCATGCAAGAGTCAGGGAGGAACTTGACACATGATGATGAATTCCTTGTTAATGCACTTATTGACAGCAAGTTGATCTTGAACTGAGGAACATATAGAACATCATTAAGCATCAAGTCAGATGAAATTTTCACATTTCCAATCAATCTTACAGAACCTGTATGTGATTTGGTAGTGTAACATATGCATTTTCAATGGGCCGCACAGTGTAAAATGATGACTGAATTAGAGCATATATGACTCGTGGCACTGGAATCTACCACCCAATATCTAGATGAATCGAAGGCTGGATTAATGGAAATTGGGCAGCATGTACCTGATGTCTTACCTGAATTGGCACCAATTTCTGAATCCATTTTTGCATCCTTGAGATGGTTACTTAGCATGTTCATCAAATGTTGATATTGTGCAGGGTTAATTGTCTGCATAAAGCCACCAACTTTTCCATCATTGCCATGTTTCTGATCTATAACAACAGCAGGTTCACAGACGTGATTGACCATTGCATAGCTAGCTTGATAGTTGGGACCAGCTTGTATGCTCAGTCCAGATTTTTTGTCTAGGCTCATATCTTGGTGGATAGCCATGAAGTTTATAACACTTATCCACAGCATGTCCATTTTAGATCCATCCATATTTTATAAGTGAATTCAGAATATAACACACTGGCTGAAATCTCCTTGGACACTGAATTCAAAATTCATGAATTAACATTGTTATTATTATGGATCCACGAATTGAGCAACTCTTGATTACCTTCAGATGGTGAAATGGTTCCATTAATGAATCCCAACTTATTCTTCACAGATAATGCAATCATCATTGACATGCTCCAAGACGCGTAGTTAGACTCCAATTAGTGGTTGCGAAATAAGGATGAGACCAGAATTGTCCGAATGATGAAGAAAATACTGGTTGGATCCATCATCAGTTGTTGAATTACTCACTGATGGCGGATAGCTATTTGGAACATCATTTTCCATCGCCAGAAGAATACAAATATAGATCAGAATTTGGTGAATCTAATCGTAATTAGTGGTGGTGAATAGCTATTAAAGCTCTGATACCATATTAGAGATGAGAAATTTCGAAGTTGAAAAGAATATTTTCATTTCAATCAATCAATTAACCATACAATATTGTCTTAAGCCCCTATTTGATCCACATTAAAATTCTCATTCTCATTATTCTACTCATTTTCAATCACAAATTTTTCAATAAAATAACATTTTCCATCACATCAATAACTTTTCCTTCTTTTTCAACCACACATTCTCCATCAATCTACTATTCCAAAATACATTATTCTAAAATAATGTGGCTCAAACTCACCCTAAGTAGAATGAGCTAACTGAATCTAACTAACTAGTATCAACAGTTGTACATAACTACTTTCTAACTAAAATTGGCGCCTAAATGATCTTGAGCTTGAGCTGGAATTTGAGCTAAGCTTGAGCTGGAAGTTGAGCTTGCTTGAACGAGCAGCTGGTGTGCAGCATACATTCTAACAACATCAGCAGGGCATACTGATAGATTATCCAATTTGCCACTAAAAACCAAACGTGCAGTAGATTTTAGTGGTAAAGTCCTTATATTGTTTTTGTTTTCTAGGTTAAAGAGGTAGCTCCAGAAGCAAGAAGAGATGTTATTCTCTCCTAAGAAGCACATATTCGCATATGATACAATATGGGTATGACGATACAGCTTTTGAATGTCAAACTTTTCTTTGGGGATTATCAACTTTAATTTTGTTCATTATCAATGTTTATATGTGGAAAGCAGGAAAATTGTCAGTCGGGGTTTTCATTGTTGAATGAGCGGAATACATGAGCTTATAGTGTTTACCACAATGAGTGTGGTGATAGTACTGTGCTGTGAGATGCAAGAGTTTATTTATCATTACGGTTGACGAGTCCAGATGAAAAAGGAATGATAACCCCCTCTTTCAGTTATCGAATCTAAATAAAACAGCCTATAATTTAATTAAGTGTGTATTAGAGCATGACTGGTTATATGCATAAAAGTGGTAAATTTTAATACAGATTGGAGCATGTTTTGTTAAGCATAATTTTTTTCCTATAATTGAATAAGTTGTAAATAAATAATTTTTTATTGATCAATGTTTAAGAGTTGAGTTAATGATTGAAAGATTAGGTTTCAGCAGTTTCTTCTGTAAAGCTTAATTTGTTTCGTGTGATGTGATATGATTCTGTAGTTTTTGCAATTTGCTTATCTGTATAGCACAAAACCACCTTTTGAGACCACCAGCATTTTATCTACCTTTTTCTGTATAATTCTTGAGCAGAATTCATTGGGGATTTCTTCTGCTCCCCAGTTTCTAAAATCTTAAATTCTCCACCACGATTGCTTTTCCAATGACATGAATCTTGTGCATCAAATCTTTATGGCCTTGAACTTGAATAGACAATGAAACTTTTGAACAAAAATATTTCATTGGTCCTCGGTTTTGGTCGTGTAAATATGCCTTAAAATAGCTTAAAATAGTTCTCTCAGGTCGAAAAAGAGAAACCTTTCTTGATGGTGACGAAACTCCGTCGTCTGAATATATATTTTCCACGTAGAAAAAGAAATCTGTACCAAACATCAAGTCATTAAAACGTGGCATATTCAAAGAGAAATTACATGTATATCAGCAGTTCCATGCAACTCTTTTGCCTAGATGCTTCTCCTTTTCCTGATGTAGAGATTGTGACTTCAAGAAAAGAAAATAAGCAAAATAATTTAATACGAGTATTAGAGGCACTTAAAAGATTGCTGTCATCAATTTATAAAATTGTAAACAACATACAGGTACGTTAAAGACAAGATTATAATAAGGGTGTGTTCAATAGATATTAAAATCAGATTAAAATTGAAAAATTAGCAATTATTGTTGACTTTTATTAGATGAATGAGATCCAAAAAAGACTATATTTTTTAATTTTAATTGGATTTTAAGTACGATCGAACACGCCCTAAATGTTATCATTTCTCTGGCACCTTTAGCTTTTACGTGACATAGTTAATGATAATTTGTAAGCTGAGAATGCAGGTGAAGGTGTGGCACAGGAGAAAAAATGGATTTATTTTGTAAGAGTTCTTTTCCTTCATTTTTTTAATAAAAATAACACTATCAACAACCTTTTCGATAAATGTTTGTTACAATTCCTAATGTTATTTGTACAATTAATCGGTTTATGAAAACCAGACTTCCTCGATTTTCCCAAAAATGACCATGGTAAAAAGCTGAGGTTCTTGAAAGAATATTAAATCAAGATGGAGTTTTGTCGATCGGGAAAGCTATTTGTACATAGAATAGCTACACCCCAATGGCAAAAAATGAGAGGATGGATTAAATGTGTTTTTTGTAAAAGATGATGGAGATTTTGCCGAAGTGTAAATTCTGTAAACCAGGGTGTACACGTAGCAAAACTCGTCGTCCATATTAGAGTACTTTTAACATGTTATGACTGTTGTTAGTGCGTGTATGGTAAACTGAATTGAGGCAATATTCCTTCCCTATCTTGTGTTTTAAAATCCAGGCTTCACGATCTTTTATCTTTTGGGCATCTTGTTCCTTCTACTTCCGAATTGTCTCATCAATGTTATAGTAACTTTGCCTAAAGAACATCGTCAAATCATGAGACAACTCGAATGTTCCAATTGTACTAAAAGAGAGGTAAAAAAGGAGAGAAATTTATACCTTTAATCCTTCTTGATTTATTACGCCTAATTCAAACTCCCATTTTGCACTTCAATAGAAAAGAAAACCCAATGTGCTCCACGAGATTGATTATTTAGTTATTACAAAAAAAGAAGGAAAACAAAAAAAAAAAAACTGCAGTACCTGAATTCAAGGCAGAATAATTTTGGTTCGACTTCCAATCATTTGAAAGATGACGACAGTGTGAAGTCAATAAGATTCCAACGTTAAATTTATCAACCTCCCCAATAAAGGTCCTTGGCTTCTTTCTCTCAACTTGCCTCTCTTACAACCTTATTACATAACTCTTTTCATGTCCTGTTCTAAACTCGACTCTCACTAAATACCTCTCAAATTTTCTTGCTTCCGTAAACTGAATTTCAAATCACAGTTCCCATTTTGATTATAATGCCAAATGAAGAAAATTCTTTGTTTCTTGATGCATCTATTTTTCAACACCAGTGCAATATACCATCACAATTCATATGGCCAGATCATGAGAAACCTTGCCCCGAGCCACCACCGATACTAAATATCCCTACTATAGATTTGGGTGTCTTTCTCTCAGGTGATGTGGACTCGGTTACTTGTGTTGTCAACCAGGCATGTAGAGAATATGGGGTCTTTCTCGTTGTAAATCACGGGGTTGATTTGGAACTCGTTGAGGAAGCTCACAAGGGAATGGACTATTTCTTTGGGAAGCCACTCGACGAGAAACAAAGGGCCCAGAGAAAAATTGGTGACCATTGTGGCTATTCTAGTAGCTTTACTGGTAGATTTTCCTCCAAACTTCCCTGGAAAGAGACACTTTCTTTTCGTTACAGCGCTGATATTCAGTTGTCCAACATTGTCGAGAGCTATTTCTTGAATGTGATGGGTGAGAATTACAGAAAGTTTGGGTACGGAAATGGCTCTTGTTGAACTGTTTTATCTAAAAGCTTAAGCTGCTTTCATGTTTCTCATTAAATGTATTTATTTTTCTTTTTTTTTTTTCCTTGTCAAAGGAGGGTTTGCCAAGAATATTCTGAAGCCGTGAGCAATCTCTCTCTTAATATCATGGAGCTCCTGGGAATGAGCCTCGGGGTGGGACCCGTTTGTTTCAGAGAATTCTTTGAAGGAAATGATTCTATAATGAGATTAAACTACTACCCTCCTTGTCTAAATCCTGATCAAACTCTTGGGACAGGCCCTCATTGTGACCCTACTTCCTTAACTATCCTTCATCAAGATAATGTTGGTGGCCTTGAAGTTTTTGTAGATAAAAAATGGTATTCCATTCCTCCCAATCCACAAGCTTTTGTAGTCAACATTGGTGACACGTTCATGGTAAGATAAAAACATTTAGTGTACGTGTTCGGTAGGTAATAGGACTAACACATACTACAATGTTTTGCAGGCTCTATCGAATGGGATTTACAAGAGTTGCTTGCATAGAGCAGTTGTAAACAGTAAAGTTCCAAGGAAATCCTTAGCATTCTTTCTTTGTCCAAAAATGGACAAAATGGTAAGCCCTCCAAAAGAATTGATATGTGAAGAAAATCCAAGAATATATCCAGATTTCACATGGCCGGCTCTTCTTGAATTCACACAGAAGCATTACAGAGCTGACATGAAAACACTTGAAGTTTTCACCAACTGGCTTCAACAGAAAAACAGTCAAGATACTGCCACATTGAATGGTCAAGGATAGAGAAAAGACTAATTACACGAAGTACACAGAGACAAGAAAAAGAAGCATCGCTTTTCTCGAGTGTTTAGAAGCAAAAGGAATCCGAAGAATGAACCTGAAAAAAAGAAAGGCAGTCAGATCAGTAGTGTTACAGTTCATTCTGTGCTTGATATTTACGAGCATTTTGCATGGATAAAGTAATTTTAAGTGTGTTTATATATCATTTCATTAATATGAAGTCAACTTTGCCTCTTGTGCATGCATGACTATTGACTTGCATAGTTGAATCCTCTAAATCTATTGTCAAACTGTTGAAAAAGATGGACTAATTAATTCAGTGAAATTTCTCCTTTTCATCCCCAACCTTTGCAAAATGTAATAAATTTACGCTCAACTTCTTTTAGTGTAAATTCATTCTCAACCTTTCAATTATTACCTTTATTTTCGTCATCAAATAACAACGAAAAACAAGGAAAAATTGTAAATGAAATACTAACTTTTCAAAAAGCACAAATAAATTGTACTTAAAATAATGAAGTACACATTGACACATTAAAAAAAGAATTTATAAAAAAAGGACTCATAAAATTTCCCAGCCTACCTTAAAAACCGATAAGTCTTTCCATCTTAAAGATCCACCATGTTAACTGACTAACTTAAATTCGATTATAATTAAGCTAGTGAGATTTTATATTATAAGCAAGATGGTAACTCATTTGAAAACATTAATCTAGAATCCGACTACTTCGAGCTTTTTAGCTGGGCTTTAATACCATATAGAGTCTTGATATGATTTTTTAAAATATCCTCATCAAGAAAAGAAAGTTTAAAGTTTTATATATTTATTATTGTTTTTATATTTAAACGGTGTGACATTTTCATCTCTAATAGTGCAAGAAACAGAAATGGAAAGTGGGGAAGGACCCGTCTCGAGTAGGGATGGGCATGGGTTAGGTTGGGTCGATTTTTGCATCCACCCAAACCCAACCCAATATGATCGGTTTGATCATAATGTAATCCAACACAACTCGTGTAAAGGTTGAAACTCAACCCAACCCAAATATCGGTTGGACCGGGTTTGGTTGGTCGGTTTTGGAACAACTTGCCAACAAAGATTAAAGTAGGTGGGTCGGGTTGTGCGGATTTATAATTGACTCATGACTTATATAAATTAGGTCTCTATAGTTGCAATGACAAAAAAAATCTAATTATTTTGCCACTTCATGCTTGGAAATGTTACATGGACAGATTGATATTAAATTATATGAAATCAAGAAATATTTTTGG